ACACAGCGGCCTAGCGTGAGGGGAAGCCCCGGCTTAGCGTACACTGAGGCCGGGATAGAGTGAGCTGAGGACGGGCTGGACTCCGCTTCATCCACGGTGAAAGTTGATGTATTCCCTCAGCGACCAGCACAGATCAGCTCTAGGCATGACGAAGCGGATCTTCTTTATGCACCAAGAGCTTGTAACACTCCAAAGAGAAAGGAAAAATTGAAATCGCATCATATGACCCCTTTAATATTTTTTTATAACCTGTGATATCTTTTATAACCCTTTTTTCAGGATTCTTTGATGATTGCAGTTTAAAAGAACAGCATTTATTTCAAATAGAAAAATAGAACTTTAGACTTTTTAAAACATAAAATTCGGCTTTGCATCACAGAATAAATCTGTTACACAATAAAAGCACACAGGCACACCATAGTTCAGCCATCAGAATTTTAACTAGGATTTTAACTATCCAGGTAACAGAGAACATTCTGGCAAGGTTCTCTCAAAGTCATAAACAAACATTCTTCTAGTAACGTTAATAGAATGTTTGTTCAGAGTAATCTACTCTATAATAACGTTCTGACAGCATTAGCACAACAACATTGTGTAGATAGTTCATGGAGTCTTAAACTCTTAAACATTTTAGTTTGATGTTTGTTTATAGTTTTTAAAATATTTCTAATTATCGTTTCAAAACATTCAACATTCAAAGTAACATTCCCCTAATGTTTGTAAAATGATTATATGGAAAATTCCCTAATCATTCACGTTTTTAAAATGTAAAAAAAAAAAAAAAAACTGGAGATTTTGTAAGATCTAACATTCAGAAAATATGTTTTCATAACTTGATGGAATTTTAGCAAAACATTCCTAGAACATATTTTTGTTAGCTGGGTACGACGAACCATTTTTTAGGGCAACTTCTCAAAATCAGGCCATGTTATCAAATGTGTTACTGTATATACAATTAAAAAAAATGTCACATGCAAAAATGGAAAGAAATGAGCAGTTAGCCCAGGTCTTCCTTCTACACAATATAAATGTGAACTTCATTTGGATGAGTGTAAAACATCTTTAATTATCGACACTTTATGTAATTCGTGTTAAAGGTGCAGATGGACTATTTCAAGGTATACTCTGACAGATCTTTTGTTGTTGTCTCACATCATCTCTCTCAGACCCAAGCTATGCACCTGAAGATGAAGATGAAGATGAAGGAATGTCCAGGACTCAATCAATGGAAGTATTAGCTGAAATGCAGAAGACTGAGCCAGAATAGATCATGTTGTATTTCAGTGCAGCCTCATATAAATCCACGTACTGTACATACTGTATATTCATCCTGTGGGTTTATCGGTGTATCTTTCAAATTTACTACCTTAAAATATACTATCAAAGGATATTATATTCTGATTTCAGCCTTTTAAAGTAAAATATTTCATGACACAAGTAAAATTATAATGACACTTTGTGCAGATATGAAAAATAGAAAATGAACGACTCGCCAAAAAGCACCACGTATAGCTAAAGTTTCAGCCCTTCAGTGCAGCGTCCATAAAGATCACAGATGCCCTTCTCTACTGACTGTATGAGTTTTATTATGAAAGATTATAAAGACAAACACAGTGCTTTTTTATTATAACATTCACTGATGGGTCAATATCAGTAAGAACATTTCCTATTTTTCACATCTGGTGCCAATTATAAATTATCTTGTGTCACAGAATATTTTACTTTTACTTAAGAGGCTGAAATCAGAACATAATGCATGATATTGAATTTTAATGGAAGTAAATTTGAACAAAATATGAAAAAACAGTGTTTAAATGACTTAAAGTCTCTGTTAGTAGTCTTAAAACGGTCCCTTTACGCTGTCACAAAAAACAAACCCTTGTTTTCTCTGTAGCAGTGCTTTTATATTAGGGACACTTCAGTGACATCTATCTACTAATTATTGCCAAGAAAATGCTGCTATTTTTTATATTTATTGTTATTTGCACTTAGCATATCACTAAAAAATGCTGCTTTTTTCACTTGGTGGCGCTATTTGCATTATATTGTATTATTTTATATTATTTTTTATAGCTGTTACTCAAGCTACTGTTAAACAATGTTTTCAGGGCAAATTCTTAAAATAACACGGTGTTATCATGTTTTACTGTATATGTGATTGCATACAATTTATAGAGTTTTGGTCAAAACATTGGTTTGTTTACAGTTTTTTTTAGTTTTGTGCTTTATAATTGTTTAATAGTTTATATTGACCACATACAGTGTGACAGCATGCTGCTATGAGACATGTGCTGTATATTTGTTCAGTGAGATGTTTACATTCTTATTTCCTGAGCCATGTTCAAAAGTTTTGTTTGTGATGAAAATGTTGTGTTTTTATATAAATTGACAGAAATTAGCCCAAGTGTATAGTGTCGTTTTTCACTGTATAAAAATGACAAATACTTTTTAAGCTTGTACCTGCACTTGATTGATGTTTGTTGTGTTTTCAGCAGTATAGTGCAGAATAAAAACATGGAAAATAAAACAGAGTAAAGCAGCTTAAACTGCATGTCCCTACATTGGAAAAGGGCAGAATAAAAGCCAATGTAATGTACACAGCTCAGTATGTACATTTGTTAAAGGTACAGCTTTACTGATACGACAAGAGTAATTTTTGGTGATGTTTTGTAGCTGTAATATGAGAAATTGAAAAAGCTGCTTCAATGGGAAATGCATCAGCACAGGACAGAAAATAGGGTTTGTCAAATCACTTCATGAGGTCTTTAACTGCTGTCCTCTGCTTCTGACATGATTGAACTGTAAGTAGAGCTTCTCACAGACATTGTCTCAGACACCTCATCTCCACTCACTGCAAAATATAGCAGAAAGTAGTTTTTGTTTTAGAACAACACAGTGGGGCAATTTGTGCATTTAACCATTTATAGTAAATTATATTAACATGCCATTACAGCCACAAAAAAGTCAGGTGAGCAAAATTTCTCAAAACATTTCCAAAATGTATAAAAGCAGGTTTCAGTCATATAATTACTCATTTAAAAATGTTTTGATGCATGCACAGATAAAACAACAACAAAGATACTCACTAAATGGTGATGGTACTCCCATGATTTTACAACTGTTCTCAAGATGTGAGCCATCCACAAAGCTGAAGGGTGAATCTGATCGGGACCCAAATGAACTGGAGGCAGACTTCTCGACTCCTCTCACTGGAAAAATAAAGTGAATAAGAACAGTGCATCATATCAATGTTATGCTTAAGTATTCCTGGTATGGGCCGTTCTGATCTGGTCCTTTCAATAACAATATCACAAACTACAGCATTTCGGTATCATCAGTCCAGAGGGGACGAGACTTAACACAGATGTTCATTTGACTTAAGACAATAAACACAATGTTTAAACATCATGCATTATGTTTTCATATTTTTTATGATTGTGGTGTTTTCTATGGCTTAGGTTTTCAGAATTGCATGAAGAACAAGATTGTAAATAAAAGTGCATGAAACGGCTGAAAACACCTCTTCCGTTTTCATTTGGACTCTCTATTCTAATTCTATTTTATTTTTAAAAACACTTGACCCTCTAACACTTGCACTCTCTATTCTATTTATATTCTGTTTTCTTTAAAAAGGGGAAAAAGAGCCTCTAACACTGTCATTCTCTTTTCTTCTTTTATTCTTTTGACTTGTTTTATTTTTATTTTAAAAAATGACCCTCTTAACACTAGCATTACCTATTCATTTTCTACTCTATCTGCTTGTTTTTTTATTATTTACTACGTGTGCTGCGTTAAGCTAACTGAGACTTGTTATAGCACTTGTATATCATTGCTCTTTTGTTGATTTTGATTGCTTCAATCGTCCACCTTGTAAGTCGCTTTGGATAAAAGCATCAGCTAAATGACTAAATAAAAAATGTAAATGTACTGAAAGCACATAAGTGCATAAATAAAAGTGTGACACTAATGGGAACAAGTGGTTATGATGGTAAGTTTCTCGTTATTGCTTATCATTCATGATTTGCTTCAAATGTGCATATCTGCACTGTACAGAACGTGGACTCACTCATCTGTGATCTGATGTCATCGCTCTGTTTTTTCATCATCTCCATTAATTCGTTTGCTCTCTCTTCCTCTGCTCTTCTTCTCTCTTTCATCTCCTGTAAAATCTTTCTGTCCATTTCAAAATGGGAGCCTCTGTTTTGTGCCACTGTCTCCTCAATCTTCTCCAGCAGCTCCTTGACCTGAGTGTTGTCACTCCTGTCCTTAAAGTTGAGAACATGATACCTGTTCCCACATTTGTCCAGCAGCCACTGGAGATCCTGCCCTTCGCTCTCAATGTGCTGCTCTATAGACGTGTCTAACAGATAGTCTCCATGAATGAACAGCACTATAGTGTGACTCCAGACTGAACTTCACGTCAAACTCCTCGCTGCCCAGGATGATGTTTCCTTCAAAACTCTTGCCTGTATTTCTAGGAGCCATTAACAGAATCCTCACCTCTGAGAGATAGAGCATGTCACCTGCAGCACATAGACAGAAAAACACACTTATTAAAGTGGCTGACATCTGAAGTCTTAATCTCTCAAAAAGGGAATCCTGAAATAAAGTTTACAGTAGTCTAATTTGCATTTAAAGAGTTTATTTGCAAAAAACAGATGTAAAAAAAATCATGTTAGTTAGCTGTATTCTTTAGTTATTTTTACTTAATCAAAATAGCTCAACTGCAGTTCGATCGAGATTAACTGGAATGCACAATTTTGAAAATTGTTAAGAACAGAGTTACCTGTTTTTGAAGATGAACTCTTCATTTATTTACTAGATGGAAATAAAACAGCAAAAAAAAATTTAAAAATAAATAAAAACATTTTGACAGCTTATATTTATAAAAGACTTGACGAAAAGCCTTAAAGAAGCCTAAAGTGGCAAAAACAGACCAAAATGAAAGTGAAAGCAGTAAAAGTGTTGTACAGTAACTGTGAGCATGTTGCTTTTTATAAAAATGTCTTCGATTATGAGTGTAAAGCTTACCGAAGTCCATTTCACTTGACATGTTTTTGTCTGCTGGAGCTGTAAATGAAATAGTTCCAGCAGCAGTCTATAGTTTTTAATTGCAATGTAGCCTGCGTTTAAGTGTTTTTGATGGGACTCACTTCATAAGAATCTCTCTACATCTCTCCTCACAGGCACCTTCCCCACTGCATTCAAGCAGGCTCGGATAACCCCACTGCTCAAAAAACCTACATTAAACACTTCACTTACAGACCTGTCTCTCTCCTTCCATTCATAGCGAAAACCCTCGAAAGAGTTGTTTTCAACCAGATATCATTGTTTCTTTCGCAGAACAACAAACTGGATGCTAACCAGTCAGGTTTCAGGAGTGGCCATTCAACTGAGACTGCGCTACTGTCTGTTTGCCTCTTTAAGAAGAATCGTTTTATGTATCCCCCAATTGTAAGTCGCTTTGGATAAAAGCGTCTGCTAAATGACTAAATGTAAATGTAAATAAGACTGCAGAACAGAGACAAACATGGGTGTGTCAGTGCGTGGAAAGCTGATGGGGGGAAAATATAAGTGTATATATAAATAAATAAGTATAAGATGCAAAGGTCTGAGTATAACACAGTTATGTCCTGAAAAATGTACTCTTTTTTTTTTTTATTTAGTACAGAAGAGGGTGAGTGTTAATGTGCATTTTTTCAATTAGATTTTACATTGACATTTGTTTTATCCATCATTTTTAGGACTGACAAAGTTTAAAATAATGAAAGAAATATATTGCTGCATTAACAGAAATAATATCAGATTAATTATGAAGGCACTCTTGTATGCTGTTGTTTAGGATCCATATCCAGCACTTCATGAACAACGAAGTAACCAATGCCCTGTCAAAGCACAACACTATTCATACCATATTTCATTTGAGTTTTTCCATTTTTAAAATTATTAAATAATTTTAACCTATTTCTGAAGATATAACAAGTTATTCATACTGTTAGTGCTAATATACAATGATTCCTTCAGTAAACTGACACAGAAAAACACTTCAGGAAGAGGGCTGGAGAAAGTGGGCGGAGTTAATGTTACATACAGCAGTGAAAGTGAAACTAAACACAGCGCATTGTTCATTTTAAATTCTACATTAAATTTGCAGATGCAGAATGAGTTTCAACATTTTTATTAAATATGAGATAGGACAGCTAAGAGCAGTAAGTGTGGATTCAGAGGAGGAACTGAAGAACACGACTGTTGAAGAGCTCCGAAGAAGAGCATTTCCTGAAGACCAATGTAAGTCGGACAAATGATACAAACAATAGGAAAAACTGCATACACGTTTAGAGTTCGATTTATCTGCTTTTATCAGTCGAAAGCCTCTGAACTACGAGAAGTTTGCAAACTATTTTACTACAGTGACCATATTTTAACCATGGTATTTGTAGAAAAGTTATGCTAATTACAGAAAACGCTCTTGATACATCTTCACCTATTATAATGAGGTTGATGCATTAATGTTTGCTGTTTCTTATGCAGCTGCTGTTGTTTGTATTTCATAGGGGACGCGTTGGTGTTTATCTTCGAGGGCAGACAACTGGAGGAGGGTCGTACACTTGGTTCTTATGGCGTACTAAACGAATCTACTATTCATGCAGTTCTTCGTCTACGTGGTGGAGGTATGTAACAAGAGTGTTTAAAATGATTTAAAGTCTCAGGTAATCGTATTAAAACTGACCCTTCATGCTGTCACACAAAACAGATGCTTGTTTTCTCTACAGCAGTGCTTTTATATTCAGGACACTTCGGTAAATTCTGCTCTTCAACTAAAATTGTATGTTATATGTAAAATTATATGTATGTTGCATGATTAGTTTGAACATTCCCATAATGTTAGTAAAATGATAATATGGAACATTCCCTTAATGTTTTTGCTAACCATCACATAAACAAGAAAAACATTTTTTTTTTTTAAATAACTGGATGTTTTGAAAGTTCTAAAAACATTAATATTCTTAATGAGAATGTTAGCAAAACAGTATATATTTTTGTTAGCTGGGGTGTTTTTTAGGGGAATAACTAAGAATAAAAGTTTTTTATAACTATTTTCTTCTTAGTTTTTTCTTATCAGTTGTGTACATTAGGGTTTTATCTTACATCTAATGTTGTTAAATGAATGTTTATCCTAAAATGTTGCTATTATATATTTAACGGTGAAGTTCTGGCAACCACAGCTGCCGGTATTTTACCGTAAATGTCAGATTTTTTTTACAGTGTTCAGCAAGTATGAAAACAGGAAAACAAAGCCAAAACAAATCCTGGCAAGGACGTGTCCGGGAAAAATGGCACGTTTGGCCACCCTACTCTGACAGATCTTTTGTTGTTGTTTCATATCATTTCTCACAGCTCTACCTCCACCTGAAGATGAAGATGTAGGAATGTCCAGGACTGCATCTATGGAAGTATTAGCTTCAATGCAGCAGACTGAGCCAGAACCCAATAGATCATGTTTGATTTTGTAGTTCAGTGCATCCTCATATATATCCAACACCTTGTACAAATATGAAAAATATAAACAGTCACAATGAACTGCTCAGCTGTACCAAAAAACACCACGTGTAGCTAAAGACTCAGCAGTTGACTGAGTAACAACCCTTCAGTGCAATCTGCAGAAGATCTCAGAGATGACTGAAACCTTTATTACTAGCATTTCTCACGTTAAGGTGCCAATTATAAATCCTCTTGTGTCACAGAATATTTGGCTTATACTTAAGAGGCTGAAATCAGAACATAACACATGATATTGAATTTTATGGTAGTAAATTTGAACAAAATATGAACAACAGTGTTTAAGGCTCCGTTAATAGTCTTAAAAGTGACCCTTTATGCTGTCACCATAAAGTGCCTCATGGGTATTAAATAATAAAGTGTTTATAGGTACGGTTAGGGCAGGGGTAGGGAGGGCTTTATTGTCCCAATAAGGCAGCATCCATTTAACAATTTTAATAAAAACGGTAATTTACACTCAATATGTTATTAGTGCATACAGTTTTATATACAGTACTACAATAATGAGGTGCAAATATCTGCCACTATTTGCAATAAGTATAAACAACATCTGATTACTAGCTCATTTACACTTATTGAAAAGAAAATGCTGCTATTTTTACAGAGTTTAAATAGAATCTATCATTATTTGCACTTAGGATATCACTAAAAAATGCTGCTATTTTCACTTGATGTAAAGCATCTATCGCTATTTGCATTATATTACTGTTAAACAATGTTTTTAGGGCAGCTTCTCAAAATAACACTGTTATCATGTTTTACTGTTTATGTGATTGCATACAATTTATAGAATATTGATCAAAACATTGGTTTGTTTACAGTTTTTTAGTTTTGTGCTTTATAATTGTTTAATAGTTTATATTGACCACATACAGTGTGACAGCATGCTGCTATGAGACATGTGCTGTATATTTGTTCAGTGAGATGTTTACATTCTTATTCTTATAACAGCAGAATGTCCAAAAGTGATGAAAATTTCACAGTTTCTATGTATAAATTGACAGAAATTCGCCCAGGAGTTTATTGACAGTACACTGTATACAAATTACAAATACTTTGAGCTTGTACCTGTCGATGATTGATGTGTGTTGTGTTTTCAGTAGAACTCATTATATTATCAATCAATAAAATGTATTACAGGGTTGCTAACTGGAACATTTCTGGGTTTTTCATTATGTCCTCTACCTATCTATCTATCTATCTATCTATCTATCTATATATCTATCTATCTATCTGTCTGTCTGTCTGTCTGTCTGTCTA